AGGGCGGGGCGGGATACTGGGGGGATACTGGCAGTGATGGACGGGAGGCTTCAGCAGCCGGCAGCCCCAAGCGCAGTGGGCCTCGCACGCGCAGAGCGTACCTCGGCAGCTCCCCGACAAGGCGTGTGAACCCGGGCAAGTCCCAGATCGACCCTGAGCCTCGTTCCCCCCCGCTCCCCACCGGGGCCTTTCAGCCCTCTGCTCGGGTCAGGCGGGGTCTCAGGGGAGGAGCTAGCGGTCGCCTCTCCTTGGTGCCATGGGGAACTCTAAGCGTCTGTCATGGGTTGGGGACGGGCGACATGTCCGTCCTCTCTGATCCGCACGACACCGCGAGGCAGGCCCTCTCGCTCCGTTTCCCGTCTTTGCTCATTGGGGCTTGTTTGACCAGCCCCAGCGTCACGCCCACAGGAGGGAGACCCCCTTGGCTCCGCAGGCACAGCAGGTGGGGAGGAAGGTCCATCCGCAGGGGAACCCGTGGCCCGTGGGAACAGCCCAGGCTTGGTATGGAACAGTGGGCCCCACTCCGGCCTTCCCTGCTGTGCGGCCTTGGGCAGGTCGATAACCTCTCAAACATTCCAAAAAACCCGCTGCGGCCGTGGAGTCAATTCCAACTCATAGCGACCCTATAGGACAGAGTAGAACTGCCCCATAGCATTTCCAAGGAGCTGCTGGTGGATTTGAACTACCAGCAGCCAAGCTCTTAACCACTGTGCCACCAGGGCTCCTTGCCTATAAAGGGGAGGGTGTCTGTGTGTCAAACGATTTATTCAGCCGAGAGCTGCTGATCACATGTCCCGCACAGCCTGGGCTGCAGTGAGGTGCGTGCCAGGGACCTGCCCCACGCACTCACCACCTGGCCCTATGGGGAGTGGGAGTGGCTGCCTCTGCAGGACACGAGGCCCCCAGACTTAACCCAAAGGGTGGTGGAGACCAGCCAGACCAGCAAGGGAGAGCAGGCGCCAGTGTGCACACCCTCCCCCCAGGACAGGCATCCATGGGTGCACCCCACAGGAGGACAGGCATGTGCACACTCACCCTTATAGGAACAAGGGACAGGGCAGTCATGCAGGACATCCACCACAGAGGCGAGGCTGCGCTGTCCCCAGGGTCCTTGGGGTGCCCCTCCCCCCAGAGGGGCTCCCTGCCACACCGCGTCTCACCTGGGGCCCTCCTGGGGGCTAGTACTTGCTAATTCGTACTTATTAGCCACATTCCAGTGGCCTTAATTCTTCAAGGTTAGGCCACCAAGGCCCCTCTCTTCAGGCTGCCAGTCCTAGTGTGACAGGGTGGGGTCGCTGTGGCCTCAGGCGCCCGGGGGACCCTTCCTAGATGGCAGGTACTTTGAGAAGCCCAAAACCTGAGAGCTCTGCTTTCAAACCTCTGACCCTACACACAGGGAGGGGAGGCTGGGGCTCGCCGTCACTGGCAGAGCTGAGATCAGACTGAACGCCCGGAGGGTCTGAGTCCCCCCCACCACACACACACACCCCGCCCACAGCCTCCAGGTCAGCCCAGGATGCCCCCTGCACATCGCCCCGTCTCCCTCTGCATTACTGGCCCCATGGGAACTGCCTTTCGATCTTCTGGGATCTGTTTGGAGTTGAAGGGTTAAAGGAATAAGGAAGGGGGTGGGGTGATGTGTGGGGGAGCCTTCGTCCTGGGACCAGGATCAAAGCTCCGGAAAGTCAGTGCTGCAGGACGTCCAAACGCAAGCCCGCCTCCGCCTCCGCTGGCAGGGCTGCGCGGCCACCCACAGGCCGTCGATGTCACGGAGGTCGGTCCCCGGGATCCATGTGGGCTGAGGGGGACCTAGCAGCACCTCTCCTGGCGTCTGGTGGTGACACCTGGCCCTGTGTCCGCAGCCTCCGTGTGCCTCACCCTGCGCCCCTGCCTCAATGGTGGCGAGTGCATCGACGACTGTGTCACAGGCAACCCCTCCTACACCTGCTCCTGCCTCTCGGGCTTCACAGGGCGGCACTGCCAGCTGGGTGAGTGTGCGGGAC